GCGCGGCGGCCTCCACGCGACGCCCGCCGCGCGGCACCGACCCGCGTGAGTGTCCCCGCGCCCCCCGGGAAAGCGCCGCGGTGCGCGCGGGAGAGGGGCCGGTCTGGGCCCTGGTTCCACCCTGGCCCTGCTCCGGTTTTTGGGTCCTGGTTCCACCCTGGCCCTGCTCCGGTTTTAGGGTCCTGGCCCGGTGCCTGTCCCAGGCTCTGGCTCTGGTCTGCTCCTTCGCCCTGGCTTTGCCTTGGTTCCCGGTCCTGACTCGGCCCGGTGCCTGTCCCAGGCCCTGGCTCCATCCCCTTCCTGCTCCCTGGCCTGGTTCTGCCCGTGGTAAAGCCCCATCCTGGTCCTGTGCCCTGAGTCTGACCCTTATTCCCTCCAAAGCCCTGGCCTGGTCCCATCCTGCTCCAGTCCCCTTCCTGGTCCCTGTTCTGGTCCCGGGCTCAAACTCCTGGCCCTTGTCCTGGTTGCTGGCCCCGGCTCCGGTGCAGTCCCAGGCCTTGTGCTGGTCCAGTCTCGTTGTTGATCTGCAGGGCTCCCAATCCACGGCGCGTGTGACCTCCCTGCTGTGGTGCTGCTCTCCCGCCTGGCCTCAGGACTTGTGGCTTTCTTTGAAAACTGCATTTAATCCCCAGGAGCACGGAGTTGCTCAAAAAACTAACAAAACGATGTCCCTTTTCTAGAGGATTCACGTTCAAGAAAAGAGCCTTGCCAGGCAGCGCCCCGTCTGCAGAGTGCCTGGGCACGCCGAGCAGCTCCGCGCTCAAGGATAAGGACGTCAATGCTTCGCTAAGCAAGCCCTTCCCCTGCCCCGCTGCCTCCAAGGACAAGAACATAAAAATCCAGGAGTTCTTTCCGAGGGCGCCCAGCGGGCAGGAGCTGAAGCCGCCCTGCGCCAGCCAGGTAGTCCCAGCGTCCCTGGAAGGGCTCCAGCACGGCTCCGGAGACGTCCCCGCGCACGGAGCGAGGACGGGCCGCGCGCACGAGGCTGCCCCCGCTGCCCTCGTTACCGTGGAAGATGAATGGGATGACATAGATGACTTTGATTTGTCAGGGGTTGATAAGAAATATTCCAGGCCAATTTTATCCCCCAAAGGTCAGTCAAGCAGCAAGACTGCCCAGAGATCCCGTTCCCCTGTGAAGAAGGTGACGAGCAGCGCGGCGGCGCCGAGCGCGTGCGAGCGTGACGAAGCTTCCCTCGATGATGAGCAGGGCTTATCGCAGGGCTCTCTGATTTGTCTTGGGGATGTGGTTCCCTGCAACAGTGGCAGGGCTGCAGGGAAGGATCCTCAGGAGAATTTACCCACAGAAGTGATTTCACATGAGGAAGCGGCTCCTGCAGGTAATGACTTATTTTAAAGTGTTGAAGTAGGGGAAAATACGTTTGTATTTGCTCAGCGAGGACTTGTTTTTTCAGAAATGAAGTCTCTCGATGAAATTGGAGAGAGCTGCACTTTTGTATCCGATAAGTGCTCTTTGGTACCTGGATGTTGTTCCAGTGAACACAGTTTGCCAAAGGGCAGCAGCTCGTGGTGCAGCTCTTGCCTGTGCAGAGTAGCTGCAGTAGTGGCGTTCCGAAGCAGTAATCCATAGGGATATAATGGAAAGAATGGCACTTCTGTAATTCATCCAAATGGGACCTCACAGCATCTTGTTCCTCAGTGTAATGATGAGAAATATTAAACAGCAAAAAGAGACTTTTAGTCATTTTAAAAATGACTATGACTGAAAAGGTCCAAAACATCAGAGTGCTCCCTTTGCAGTTGTGTTTCACTTAACAGGTAAAACATGCCATATAGAAAAGCTACGTTTTTGGACCTTTGTCATTACTCGTGTTAGTATGTGTTTATACATGGAATAATGCTGCACAACATTCTCTGATACTGCTGCTATGGGGGAACCACGTAACAGTAAAACCATGTGCTTCTCTTCTTGAGGCTATCCAGTGACTTGCATGGTAGGGTTTGGCTTACAGGCTGTTAGATACATTGATTTGTCTTCTAATTCCAGTCTAGGGACTGTGCTACTTGGTGAGGGTTTCTAGAGTTGTAGTCGCACTCTTCTTAATGTAACTTAGTGTTTAATGTAACAACGGTTTCCTAAAAAATTCTTATAGGAAGATAAACCTAAAAGCAAATTTGAAGAAGCTATTTTTTCTGTTTTGACATGGAAAAGTAATTATATAAATTTTACATTTAGAGGGTTACTTTCTTAATTGGGTCCTTTTTGAAGGAGAGAGAAAAGGGGCCCAATAAGTATACCACATCCTCCAAATTTTAGAAACTGCAATAAGCTACTGTTTTGAAATTGAGGTAGTATTTTTTTCTGCTATTTAGCTGCATTTTGCTCATATCAGCATGAGTTTGCAGTACGCTTCTTTCAGCGGCGGGTGTTGGAAACAAGAATGATGAAACGCAGAGGCTGAGCGGCGGCGAGAGGAACGGCCAGGAAGAGCTGGACGCTGCTGACGACGAGCTGCTCGCCAGCCTGGAGCTCGAGGAGGAGGAGGAGGATCTCTGCCCGTGCCGCCCCCCCCAGAGGAGCTGCCCTCCTTCCCCCCAGCCGCAAGAAACGGCAGGTAGAACAAGGCTTGCTGATAAAACTGTCCCTTGGAATGACCAAAAAACCCCTACCAAAACCGACACAAGAACCAGTGCTTGGTAGATAATTACTGTTTGGGTTGGGAGTCTGTGGCTGTTGCTTTTCAGGCTAACAGTTAACAGCTGCTATTACTGTATTATATATATATATATATATTTTCCCTAATAGTCAATATTTAAGGTTACTTTTGCTTCAGAACAAGCAGGGTTATTTTTCCCTATTAGTGGGGGAAAGATGTTTAATGAAACAAGTCTCTACAAGCTGGCCCGCAGGAGTGACCAACTGCTCAGCTGCTTACTTGGATTTTTAACTGCCTTTTGGGAAACTTGTTTGTTGGTCTATTGCCCATGGCTTACATGCTGCTGTTCCGGAAGATAAATGTCTCTTATGGAAATGCTTTGATTTATAGATACCCAATGACTTTTTATTTTAATCTTAGCAATATTTTCAAAGACTTTCCTACTGGTGGAAGATCAACAGCGTCTGGTTTTGAGTCTGAGCCTGAGAAGAGTACCATGAAGCAGCCTGTTGCTGAAACCAGCACGGAGGATGCCGGTAGCTGAAACGTTTTGAAATTTTATGTCTGATTATGTTCTCTCTGATTCAGATTCTTCAATTGTCAGGACCATAGATATGTGACAGACTTTCCTTTCGGAACTTAAAAATGTGAACATGTCAAGTAGTTCCTGAAGTCAACTGTGATGCAAAGAAATTCCACTATTAAGTTAGAGCTTTCTAGTTTTCTATTTGATTTCCCGAAGTACTGACTTTGGGAAAATTACTGAACTAAAATGTATCCAGATTTGACTCTCGGAAGGAAAAGTTTCTAGGTGTAGGACTGAAACATGGTTTTAAACCTGCAAATTCAGACTTTTCTTTCGGTTATGCTGAAGATGTACTGTTCAATGGGATCACTTAAAATTTGTGCCTATGAATGTCCAAAGTAGTGTTAAAAACAATAAGTGTAATAATGCTGCTCTGAGATCAAGTTAGTCAAGTCTAATTCCTTTTATACTTTAGTGTGCTGTAGCAAGTTTTTGATTGATACCATCTTGTTACTGTGTCCTACTGAAAGTTAGGAGTGCTAAATGCTGAAATATCCCACATTTTCCAGATAAAAGCTTGCATTTGGAACAGCAGCTTTACAGCGTCATGGATGATATCTGTAAACTGGTAGAAGCCATTCCGATTCAGGAGCTTAAATACCTGTCCTGCGCAAAAGAGCTTCTTCAGCAGCGAGACCTGCGGTGAGTTCGAGCAGCCCCGTGTTTGCAGAGCCGTCTGCAGGTGTCTCTGCTGCGCCGGGAACGGGGCTCCGAGCGGCCTCACAGGCTCCACGTTACTCCTCAAACGAGGTTTTGGGGGAAAAAAACTCAAAATGTGCTGAGGGTATTAAGAGGTTCTGAATTCTGCTAGAAGAGAGGAGGAAAGAACTCGGCTCTGAGGCGGGGATAGTCCTCATCCTGCTTTCCGGAAGGTAGCCCCAGATGCTTCCAAAGAAACAGCAATGTGGTATAATCTGTTCTCCGTTCTGGGGTTCCTCCTGATTCCTTACAACCTGAGGGATTAATTTATTATTCCTTCTGATACTTATTATCACAGATTATAGCAATTATAATATCCCTATAAATGTCAGTTCTGAGTTTGAATGTTGCTACTGCAGTCTGCTGCTTTAACCTCTGTATCATCTAGTGACACAGTACGCAGAGGAAGTGTTAAGATTTGGGATTTTTTGTCTTTACTGGACTAGGATCACAGGCTTTTACTAAACATTGCCAGTAAAATTAACTCGCCCTGTTTCCTATTATTATAGTAGTCAGTTGTAGTCTTTAGAGAGCACATAAAAACATAATTTAGTTCATGCCTTTTTCATTCTTTAAGGTTTGTGCCTTCAAAAATTTTCACCACTTTGCCCGCATTAATTCTTCACTATTAGGGTTTCTTATATTTTAGTATCTGCTGT